GCTGCATTCATATTAGGGCCTCCACCATTCTGTTAACACCTGGCTCCCTAAACTCAAAAGGTCATCAGACCCTATCTTTTTAGTCCTAACATCCAGCACCTTCATCACTGTTCATGCAGACATTTCCTGAGCCCTTTTAGCAAAACTTCCCACTTCTATTTTATGGGTTGATCACATAAACACATGCCAGATATATCTCTTCATCCTGACTTTCATCTTACATTTAAAAAATATCACTGTAGGGCCTCCCCTGGTGGCACAGCGGTTAAGTGCTGGGCTATAAAGCTGCCCGCAGCCACCGCGCCGGTTCGATCCTTTGCCGCCAGCGACGGTCCCACATGGCGCGACAGACCTCTCCTGCTGCACCCGCTGCTCCCCTCGGCAGTGTATTTCGTCGGTCTGCCCGTTCTGTTCCCCGCTCTGGTGAATTCTCTCACCCTCCCGCACTTCTGACTGTACCCAGTGCTTATATAAATACATGAATAAATCTTAAAAAAAAAAAATCACTGTAGTATTTTGATATGTAATACATACACAAACTTACATTCATAATTATTTGTGTTTTATGTGTGCTAAATTATAAGCCACTTGAGTACATGGAACTGTTGTTCACTAGATTTTTAGTAAATGCTCGATATGAGTTTTAAGTGTTTTTCCCCTTATAATTCATTTTCTTGTTTTGATAGTTTTCTAATTAGAAATGTTTATATTGTACCTTCACTTTCAGTATCCAGCCCCAATGAGTATCAGTATCTTTTTTTAAATTTTTTTAATTTTTTTTACATTATTCATTTTTAAGCAATCTAATTAGAGTATCTTAATTGAAAACATTTTAGGTTTTATGGTTATGGAGATAGAACAGTGGTGTTGCAAAGAGGAATTAAAATACAAAATGAGAGCAAGTAAGATATAGTTTCACTTGAAAACCTATTTTTCTGGTGTTCTTAGAACAGAAGCAGGATTTCCTTTTGGGAAGTAGCAAAATCCTTAGTTATTAAACAATTTTAGCCCTCTAAGAATTGCATCATTGCCTGGTTCTTCTGCTTTAGCAAATTTATCATTAAATATTAGCAAATTTATCATTAAATATTTGAGACAACCTGGAATTTATCTCAGGAAAGATGAGGAATTTCTTTCATGATTGAGCTAACCACAGATAAGTTACTTTCCACATGTTAATATTGCCCCTGCAAAAAGGATGACTTTGAGCAGACTTTTGATTTTGTTGCAAGGGAACTCATTTATTACTTTTTTGTTATTGTTGCATTTCATTGGTAATTGATAATATATAAGTTTTGGAGTGCAGCTACACACCTCTTCAAAAGTATGATACTACACTGTGCTCCCCACCACGGTTTTAATAACTCTCCAGCACCATCCAGTTGACACCCACAACTCATTCCTCCCAAAATTGCAACTACCATTTTGTTGCTAGAGTCAAAAGGTGGTTTTTATTTTGTTTTTGTTTGCTTTATTTTTTTATATTCCACATATGAAGTCATCTGTTATTTGTCTCTCTTTTTGACTTAGTATAATCACCTCACAGTCCATAGCAAGACTTCATTATTTTTATTTATTTATTTGTTTGTTTGTTTATTTATTTATTTATACAAGCGCTGGGTACAGTCAGAAGCGTGGGAGGGTGAGAGAATTCACCAGAGTCAGAGCGGAGAGCCGAACAGGCAGAAGGACCAAGGTACACTGCTGAGGGGAGCAGCGGGCGGCAGAAGAGGTCTGCGCTCCATTTGGGACCCTCGCCGGTGGCCGGGGATCGAACTGGCGCTGCAGAGGCTGCATGCATGCAGCTTCGCAACCCAGCGCTCAACCGCTGCGCCACCGTGGGAGCCCTATTTTTATTTTTTTAAAAGATTAATTACACGAGAGATCTGCTGCTGGGCCATGTGGGTCAGCTTCCTGGATGGGGATCAAACTCATGCTGCAGTGGCTTATGATAGCTTGATAGTGCTGAGACTTAACCCCTGCGCCACCAGGGAGGCCTCAGGTCTTGCTCTCCATCCTGCTTCCTTCTCCATTCTCTGCAGCTTCTCCTCCCTACTCAGCTCCACCCTCCCTTAGGTGGGACAGGGAACCTGGAACCTCCCCTTTTCATGGGAACACCCTGTTTACAGGTTAGCTCCTTGTGCAGGGATGAACTCATGTCTCAGTGACTGGTGATATATTTTGATAGCGTTGAGACTTTAACCCCCTGCGCCACCAGGGAAGCCCATCATCTTTTTTTATAGCTGATCATTTGCATAAGTATCTCTTGTAAAAGGGAGGAAAATCCTGTTTATTTTTTTCTCTGTGTGTTCTGCAAGCATTTTATTTTGAAAATTTTCAAATCTAATAAAGTTTTAAGAATAATAGAATGGACACTGATATGTTTATAAGTTTCACATTAACTTTATACACATACACACATAACCTTTATGCAAAACCCTTTTAAAATAATGTTGGCTATCTTGACACTTAATTCCTAAATACTTTTAAGTTTCACCTGAGAATAGTGGCATTCTACTAATTATTCTAAAAAGTTAGCAGTGATACCATAACTTTTCTCCCTGCCATGTTTAGATTGTGACATCTGCTTTTTCTTCTTATAGCTGTTTATCACAGTAGACAGATCATAGTAGCATTGATTATCATATTTAATGTTTCTCCGGTCTTCCCTGCCTTTGTCTTCCATGCCAAAATAGAAAGCACATAATTGAGTTTATCCTGTTACTAATAATACTAACTTCAGTTACCTGATTATGGTTGTAACTGTTATTATTATTTTCCATTTGAGAAGGGATTTCTCCAGTCCTGAGATTAATAATAAGCTGTTGCACGATAATGCTAGATACTGTAAATATCTTGTTCCCCAGAAACCATTTTTTAGGTGGTTTTGGCATTCATTGATGAGCCTTTCCTAGATCGGTTACTACTACATTGGTGGTGGTTGCAGAGTCATAATTCTTTAATGTCATGATTCCTACATTTATCAGCTGATATTCTTATTGGTGTAAAGAAGAGCTCTCTTTTATTCATTGTAATAGACTCTTTTATAGGTTCACAGTAAATTTGATCAGAAAGTACAGAGTTCCCATATATTCCCTGCCCAAGTTGCATATCTGCTAGTCAGTGAACCTACATTGGCAGTGTCATTATCACCCAAAGTTTACATCATTATCCATAGCTTACTTTATTTTTTTTTTTTTTAATTTTTTTTAAAGATTTATTTATTTATTTATACAAGTGCTGGGTACAATCAGAAACGCGGGAGGGTGAGAGAATTCACCAGAGCCAGAGCTGGGAGCAGAGCAGGCAGAAGGACCGAAGTACACTGCTGAGGGCAGCAGCGGGCAGCAGGAGAGGTCTGCACGCCATGTGGGACCCTCACCCGGTGGCCAGGGAGCAGCCGGGGATCGAACTGGTGCTGCAGAGGCCGCGGGCAGCTTCGCAACCCAGCGCTCAACCGCTGCGCCACAGGGGAGGCTCCATAGCTTACTTTAAGGTTCACACTCAGGAGCATACATTTTTGTGGGTTTTGGCAAATGATAATGCTCCCATTTGTTTTTAAACTTTCTATAAAGTATTTTAAACCTCGGATTATAGATGCCAGTAGCAATGTATACTATGTGTCAGGAAGCATATAAAGCACCATATATTTGATACTTCTCAATCTGAAGGGTTGTGTTGGTGTTAACTCAATTTTACAAATAATTGTAAAGAAGTTGAGAAACTCAGTCTCAGGGTCACTATGTCTAGTAAGTAACAGCAGAGATTAAATCAATGACTCTGTATATGAGCAGTGATGTAGCAGAGCTGAGGTCCTGCCTGTGCCACCTGGTAGCTCTATAATCATGTATAAGTAAACAGCTTTCACTGTAAATGGCATTGAGGTTTAAATGGATTCATAGCACACATCATATATTTGAGGATCCAGTGAAATTGTGCTTGAGGAGTATGTCTATTGCTGCATGAAATGTACAATTTTTTTTAGAGCTTATTGTCTATAATCAGATAATAGCAAGAATTGTATTATGTGTATATTAAACTTCAGCAGCTTCTGTAATCCTTCCTGAATATAATGCAGTCACTCTTTCAATGTCTGTTTCTATATGGATTAGTACTGTTTGTAAGGGAGGTGGTTTGCTTAGGTTGCAGCCTATGAACACTGCAGATGCTGATTTAAAGTGAATAGGAGAGGTCTCACTCATAGCAGGAATTTAGAAAACCTAAATAAGGGACCAGGAAAAAGACTAATTAATATAAAAATCAAAATCAACAAGCAGCTATAAACCAGAGACACACTACCGGGGGCTGGGGGAGAGAAGGACTAGGGTCAAAATAAAGGGGGGGTGCAATTGTATGGGGAATATAACCAAAATGAAAATGCATACATTGTGCAAAAATGAAAAATGATGTAAGAATTATAAAATATTTTTAAAAGTAATAATAAAGTGAATAGGAGAAAAACAGTTCTCGTAGGACAACATATTATACTTGGATTTTACTTTCCAGAGAAACTTGTTTTTGTAGGTTGTATGTTTCTGTCACTAAAAAACAAGTACCTTTTTCATAAATGGTATTTTGGAATACTCTTTATCTTTTTTTTTTTTTTAAGATTGACTTATTTTTGTGTAGAAGAACTGGGGTACAGGCCAGAGGTGCGGGGGTGAGAGAAGTCACCAGAGACAGAGTAGGGAACAGAACAGGCAGACTGACTGAAATACACTGCTGAGGGGAGCAGCGGGCGAGACAGGAGAGGTCTGCTGCGCCATGTGTGGGTTAGCTCCCTGGCTGGGGATTGAACTCAGACCGTGGGGGTGATAGCACTGAGACTTAACCCCTCGGCCACCAGGGAGGCCCCTCTTCATCATTTCAAGAAGCTATACATGAGAGTGGAGCATTTTACTTGCCAGTATGGCTGAGTAGAAGATGTTTTCCGTACCCCTGAGTTCTTGGGAACAAGACCTCATGGGCAGACTTGAACTCTCTTCTCTTTCACCTCCTAGGTCCCGCGGCAGTGCTGGTGGCCATGGTTCCCGTAGCCAGAAGGAACTGCCCACAGAGCCCCCCTACACAGCATATGTAGGAAATCTACCTTTTAATACGGTTCAGGGCGATATAGATGCTATCTTTAAGGATCTCAGCATAAGGAGTGTACGGCTAGTCAGAGACAAAGACACAGACAAATTTAAAGGTGAGTTTGGGGGAATACTTAGGGAGGGGAGGGTCCAAACTAAAATCTTAGTGAACCAGAGGACTCTAATTGTGAAAGTGCTTTCAATATTTGCCCTGGCCCAAGAAGCTGATGTAGACATAGCTCTTTCACCCATAGGACTTCAGTTCCACTTGGAAAAAAATGTTTTAAACATATGACTTGTAGAAATATATGTCATATGCCCATGTAAATCTACTGTTTCCTGCTCCATATAGTAGTCCTGTCTCAGCCAATGAAGGAGTTACCTGGAAGAGCAATGAAGAGGTAAAACTGAGGACTTTTCAGGTGCATTTATTTCACATTGGTGGGCTCATACATTTTTCTTGGTAGTTTTCCTATAATCTAGTTTATAAAATGTAAAAGATAACAAGTGCTGTGACTGTGCATTTGTGACTTCAGAGCATGAGTTTAGGAAAGGGCTCAGATTTCAGAAGTGGTATGTATGTACATGGTTTCTTAGAGCACATGAGCAGAGGAGTAAGTGAAATGATCAAATCCATAGTAATTCCTTCAAGGTTTCCTGAAGGGAACTGTGCTTAGTTTTTCAGTGTATGATGCAAGGTACAGGACACTTGGTTTGCCTTATTTATCTAGAAGTGGCACTCTTTAAGAGCTAGAGGCATATTACTCATTTGAATGGGTCTATGTATACATGTATCTATCTGTGTGAAAGTTTTTTTTGATATTAGAACCTGAAGCCTTGTTACAGTAAGTGATCAAACAGTGAAAGCAAATCACAGTAAGGTCTGTGAAAGTAAGTTCTATCATTTTGCCTATAAGCAAGCATTAAGGATTAAAACTTAGGGTAAAACTGTGGGTGCAGTCAGCCTTCGGGCTGAGTCAGTGGCAGCAGGTTTTAGAGTTGTCTCATAGAGGATCATCTTCAGTTTTAGCAGTTCTGGTGTGTAAGATGCCTGCCTTGGCTTTTGCTGCTCTGAACTTGTTTTTCTCAGGTCCTCTAAACATTAAATTTGCTTTGGTAATGGGGTAGGGAGGTTTCTCTCCAGCCAAGCTGTACATTCTCTATATAAATGCTTAATGAACAGTTGGTGAAGGGCAAAGATTGGAGCCAGGCCTTAAAAGCATTTACAGTCTAGTGGGCTTTGAGGGTAAAGTGTGACCATCAAAGTGAGGCAGGGGTAGGGAATAGTGTGAACATATTGGAACGTGGGGAGTGCTTGCCCCAAATTTAGATTCAGTGAATAGCAAGGAAGGTGAAAGACAAAAGTGTCGACAGGTAAAGTGGAAAGCTTATTCAGTGCTTTGAGGTGGGAGAAGGTATAGTTTTCTATTTGAAACGTAGGTCAGAATCCAGCAACAGGGAGACCAGTTGTTAGGTGTACATGCTTAAACCTGGACCATTTGTCTTTGACTTAGCATCCCAGGGAGCTTGCCCTTACTGCCGAGGGTATATTTTTAGCTTTGTAGGAAATTTTATGCCAACTGCTTGAGTAGTAAATCATAAGCACTTTCAGCCTATTCCTTCAGAGCACTTCAGTATCAAATTTGAAATCGTAGGTTATATTATAAAGTCATTTAGAAGTCAGAACTAAAAGCACTGCAATGACCCAAGAAAGGTTTTAACATTATTGTTTAAACATACAAGAAGAAAGCCTTATAAATTATGGGAACTACTCCTGAGAGAGAAATCAAGCATTGTATGAAAATGAACAATGGTATAACATAGGTATAAATGAGTATTTAAAAATAAAAATATAAAAGCAGTTCACTTAAAAAAAAGAAAGCTGTTTTTATAAAACAGCTGCTATTTCAGTACCTGTTTGATAAGCACTTTCTGCTAAAATATAACTGAGGGAGGAATAGGCCTTAAATTCTGCTCATTGAAGGGTAAAGTGCACTTTGACTCTCAACTAGTCACTGTGAATCTAGATACAACAGAAGCGTGGTTCTGATGTGGGAAGTGACATATGGAGGGGGATCCCACCATGTCTTAACCCAGAATTCCATGAGGAAAATGGGATTTGTTTTCTCTTACAGGATTCTGCTATGTAGAATTTGATGAGGTGGATTCCCTTAAGGAAGCTTTGACTTACGATGGTGCAGTAAGTATAGATACCTTCAGGTTTTCTCTTACATTAGCATTTGAGTTTTGTTTTTGCCAATACATAACACTATTTTCTCCTTATCATTAGCTCTTGGGGGATCGGTCACTTCGTGTGGACATTGCAGAAGGCAGAAAACAAGATAAAGGTGGCTTTGGATTCAGGAAAGGTGGACCAGATGACAGAGGTGATTAGTTCTTCTAAAACTGAACATAAAACTTGCTCTGTGCCCAGTGCCCACCAATTACAACTCTGGAAGGTTACTACTAAAACAGTCTCATAGGTCTGATAGGGTTTTGTGAGTTTTTAAAAATGTGTAAAATCTTAGAATGGACGATGCTTCTGCAAGCCTGGGTTTTTTGTTTTGTTTTGTTTTGTTTTGTTTTGTGTTTTTCCTGTCAGCAGCAAACACTCTTATAATGATTTCTTTGAACTTCCCATCACATGAGTTTGTACGTACGTCTTCCCAATGAGTTTTTCCATGTTTGTGCAGCAAGGTAATGATACAACCTCAACTTTATCTTTTTTGTGTATCCTCAGGAATGGGTGGCTCTCGAGAATCTAGAGGTGGATGGGATTCCCGGGATGACTTCAATTCCGGTATCAGTATTTAAAGTATCACCACTTACCTTTTTCAGTGGCCTTGCTGCTGTTGTATGTTTCTTGTGAGTAGCTCGCCTGGCCAGGCTGCTACTTTAGTTCCTTTCAAAAATGAATCTTTCCTAAAAGGTACCCAGGCATGCAATAAGCCTCTATTAGAACTTAAATGGTGGGGTCGGACTTGGAAGGTTCCGCACTGTGGGTGAATTAAGACCTATCCACCTTCTTTTGTTACCTTTCCTTAGCCATATTTCTCACACATGTCTTTATCTCCTGCAGCAGTCTCTGTCAGAGTCCAGCCCAGGGAAGCCTCTTGGTGCTGGTGTGTATGACACAAATAGAAGTACTATTACTTCTAGAAATAGCATGGAGGTTTTAGCAACTTACAGAAAGCCTTATAACTATAGTTCATGGTGGCTCCCTCTTAGATGGTAAAAGAATCTTTGCGTGACCTTTTTCCCCTCAAGGGTCATGGAATTCATATCCCTTAATGGTGGACATTATCCACTTTACCATTCCTTTACTTAGCTCACTTGAGGCAGACTAGTAGATTCCTTGGTGGCTCAACTTAAGATTTGTCAGTTTGCGTGTCAGTTCTCTGCTTTGAAGGAATTGAGCCCCTAAATTATTCTTTTTTAATTATATAAAGTAACTTTTTAAAAGTCTATTTTCTTTATTATAAATATGAGCTGCTCTCTGTACTCTGCTGTGTAATATGAGAACATCTGCTCACTCTTACCCACCCTCTCTCTCACACACACACCCCCAAATCAAAACAAAACTCAGTATAAAATAATTGGTAAGTATGGGGAAATTGGTACAAGAGATCTTCCGAATCTAAATTTTTTTTTTAATTTCCAGTATTGTTTTAGCTAAACAGATGATTGTTTATATCTGTTGACTAATTTAATTCTTAAAAGTCTTGTAGCCAATCAGAAATGAGCTTATTCATAAAAGTACAGTATAATCCAGTAAACCTGTAATTTTATGTATAAGCTGGTCTCTGATTGAAACACGCAACAAATGACTTCTCAAATCCAGGTGCAGTGGCTCAATGAGTGGCGGTCTCTAACCTGCCAGTTTTATATTCCATGGTACTGTAGAACCAGTTCAGAGAGCTCCTCGCTCCAGAACTATGGAAGTTACCTCATGAACATCATCAGCCTTTCTGCCATTGGCTTTGCTTGGGTTTTTACTCTGAAGCAGAGGTGGATAGTGAACGTAGCCAAGGAAACAACTACCATGCCACATACCACTTCTAGTGTGAACTGGTGATATCTAATACCGGAAGTGCCCAAGTGGTGGAATAGTGCCTATATACAGCTTTTGCGAAAGTCTTTTTTATTCTTCAGCAGAATACTATTTTTAAATAAATGGTACATTTTGGGGGTTTTTTTTTTGTTTGTTTGTTTTTTAAAAAGATCTATACCAAGAAAACATGAGGAAAGCAATGCAAATAAAAAATTCCCAACACCAGAAATAGCCATTGTGTGAAACTAAACTTTGTGAAGAAAATTCAGAAAATCTTATGACTGGTATGCCTCCTAGAAATTGGCAACTTTGATTAAAAGATAATTATTCTATGTCAGATCTTGCTTTCTGTGAATAATCTTCCCGTTGTTCATCTCATAAGAGATTTAAAATGAGGCTGTTGCCTGAGGTTAATGTACACTGGCTTTTCCCCTTTCTCTACTTTGTTTTCATGCACCTGGACAAAGTAGTTGTTGTATTTATCTTGTCAATGTGATGAACGTGTACTGATTTGTTTTTCACTAAACACCAGTAGCAAAAAATTACTTAATCTCCTATTAAAGAGAGAGTAGCTTTAGTTCTGTGCTCACATGAAAAGGTACACCTCACAGTTTGGGGGGATATCGGTGATTTTCTAATTAAACTTATTTAATGAATGTTGTATGCTTAACCATAACCACTTGTATCCAAGTGTGTTTTTCCCCAAGTAAAATTTTACCACGTTTTGTTAAAATTGATGTTGTTCAACTCATTCTCTGAACTGAATTTCAAAGAACCCTCTCTATTTCCAAGACACTGAACAGAAGATACCACCATTGGAGATTGTTGAGTGTCAATATCTGAGATTGTTAGCTTCTATACTGTAGACACCATATTAGCAAATACCATATTGCTTCTCGGGGAAGTAACAAGAT